GAGCGTCGGCCTGCGGACTCAAAGGTCCCAGGTTCGATTCCGGTCAAGGGCATGTACCTTGGTTACGGGCACATCCCCAGTGCGGAGTGTGCAGGAGGCAGCTGGTCGATGTTTCTCCTCGAAGTTTCTAACTCTCTATCTCCCTCTCTTCCTCTCTGTAAAAAAATCAATAAAATATATTAAAAAACAACAACAAAAAACAACAACAAAAAACAACAAGAAGTTACCAATGAATGCGTCACTAAGTGGGACAACAAAATCAATGTTTCTCTCTCTCCCTTCCTCGCTCTCTAAAATAATACATTTTTTACAAAAAACTTTATCCCATAAAATCATACATAATCTTTCCAGGTAAGGGTGACAGTAGTAACTGGCCCAGTGGTTTTCAAAATTGAGCATGTGTCAGCGTCTCCTGGGCGTTAGTAACACGCAGTCCTGAGTTTCCGATACAGCGTGCCCGGCCCCCCCACCCCCCGCCCCCCAGCAAGGTCCCAGGCTCCCCCCTGGTCATGTGCTGCTGGTCGGACCAGGTTTGCAGAACCGCTGCCCCAGCTGCAGGAGCAGGTGTGAGGCCGGGCGTGGCTGTGAGCTCTGCTGCCCAGGGTCTGAGCACACGGTCGGACGGATCTGCGGTGCCCTCCTTGGTCGGGCAGAACTGAGCAGGAGTCATGTTCTTTTCGTGTCTTGAAGGAACAGGAGCTTGAGGATAAAGGTGGTGTAGCTTTCTTAGAAAACGGCAGTTAATCGGCCAATTAAGTAACAGAATGATTAAAGATTTCAGTTTGATGTTATCCTTTCTGAGTCGTTCCAAGTAGGAAAACATGCACTCAGGACCCTAGCAGGGCGTGTGGGCTCATCGGGTGCCCTTTGGTCCTGGTCGGGACGTTCTGGGAGTTTTACTTGGGGGTAAGCGAGGTCTTTGTTTCTGGTGCAGTTTATCAGCGAGAACGTGGTGCCTGCCGAGGGCCAGGCTGTGCGCACGGTGCTGTGGCCACGGCCGTGCCTGGGCCTCGGTGCCTGGCTGCGCCCCCCCTGCAGGCACGGCGCCGCGCCCTCAGCCTTCACGCTTGTGTTGCAGGGCGTTCAGGCTCCGAGTGGCAGGTCCTGTTGCAGACGCAGTATGGCCCTCGCTCGGTTCATGTAGCTCTAAGGGGACGGTGACTTTCTGGTGGACGGCATCTGTGAGGCGGCATCTGTGAGGCGGCAAGCGGTTACAGTGGCTCCATGCTTGTCTGTGACTTGGTTCAGGTTGTAGGCGACGGGTGTTTTTCAAGTAGTTTAAGGTGTCGAGGGGAGAAAATTATATGTGTGAGTCGCTTCCTTTAAATATAAAGTCATGAAATTTGTTATATATTTTGATTTACAAGCAGAGAAATAGCATTAAAGCTTATTTTACTAATGAAAAAAATTTTTACTATAAAAAGCACAGAGTACAGAGTATTACATGCTCTCACCAGTGGGTTTCCAGTGTGTCACTTGAACATGGTCAGGTAGAGTGATGTCTCAGTGAGTCACCGTGGTTCCTTCCTGAGACCCAGCTGGGGGGCCTGGGGACCCCCATGGGGAGTTGGCCAGCTGCTGGGAGCACCTTGGCTGCAGCGGGAGCAGGTCTTAAAACGTGTAACTACAGCGACACGGGAGGTGACGTGTGGTATCATTGTCGTGTAACTACAGCGACACAAGGTGCCGGGTGATGATGTGTAACTACAGCGACACGGGAGGTGACGTGTGGTATTGTCGTGTAACTACAGCGACACAAGGTGCCGGGTGATGATGTGTAACTACAGTGACATGGGAGGTGACGTGTGGTATTGTAAGACAGCTGTTTTTGCTGAAGAGATACAGAGAAACTCCTTTTTCTTAGCAGTAAATACAATGAGGCCTGGGACGTTGGTGGTAAGATTGGGTGGGCATCCCTGTCCCGGTGAGGGGCCCGGCCTTGGAGGGCGGCTTGCTGGTCCCTGCTCCTGGCTGACCCATTATGACGTCTGTCCTTGCATGTCCGCTATCCTGGCTGCAGCATGAAGCGAGCCCGCTCTCTGAATGTCCTAAACGTGGGTGACAAGGCCGCTGAAGACCATTTCCAAGTAAGGAGCCCCGCCCCTGCCCTGACTCCCAGACCAGGTGGCGGGCGGCCGCAGGGCCTCGCGAGCTGGGTCAGACAGACAGACAGGCGCCACATGACGTCTCCTGAGCATTGATTGGGCCGGGTTATGGGACTGTCACGTCGTCAGCATTCTTGGTACATTAATCAGTGGCCTTGAGAAATGGTCCGGTCGGCCTGATTGAAATGAGACGTTCTGACGGAGTGCTGTCTGCATGTGGCCTGTCATTACTGAAAGTGTCCTGCTCGCTTGTGTGACTTTAGCCTGCATGGCCAGTGGTCCAGCTCAGCTGTCACTGGTGTGAGGAACTGACACGCTGTCCTGGCACTGGACCTGTGAGCCTGTCACCTTCACATTGAAAACTCTTCGCACCCTGTTCTCTGTCATTTTTGTGTATGTCCGGTGACTGTGGGTGCGGCCAGGCCTGGGCCCTGGGCCCACCTTGTCTGTCGGGTGCCGGGCAGCCGGGCTCCTCTCAGGACCTTGGACCCGGCGGCACCGCTCCCTGGGGTGCGTCGCCGGCTTTCCCGTTCCTGCAGCACCTGGGACTGTCCGGGCCGCGCTCCCTGGCAGGGAGAGGCCTCTGCTGGAAGCTCTGGGCGGGGCAGGGTGCAGGGCCCGCAGTGGACACGCCTCGCCCCCGCGTCTGGTGGTGGCACCTGCTCGTGAGCACCAGGCCTCGCGTGACGTGGAGTCTGAGTGAGGCCGCTGGGCTGGCGCTGTGCGGAGTGCTGGTTGAGTGTAATTTTCCCATTTGTTTTTCATGCAGGAACGAAATAATTGTCTAGCAGATGCGAGAGCTCTGAGTGCCAGCCACACTGACCTGGCGCACTGCGGGCCGGGCCGGGGCCGAGCTAGATAAGCCGAGCCCGCCCGCCAGGCCCCTGCCCACGCTGCCCGGCAGGGAGGCCGCTCGCTTCCTTGGCGAGGTGGCGACCCACCACCCACGGAGGCTTGTCCGAACTCTGTTACGTGGTCTGCAGTCCTGGTGACCGAGCGCTGCCGGAGCATGACCGTGAGACCGGCCTGGCGGGCCAGGCACAGTCCGGCCAGCAGCGGCGTCACCGCGGACTCGCTGCTTCTCACGGACACGCACTTTCTGCGCGGCCCCAGCTAGTTTAAATTCAGACTTGTTGATGCAGTACTTGGTGGGCTGTAAACGGAGCGTCTGGAACCTTCAAGTCCATCTTTGGAGAATAAGCATCTAATGACCCGTAACGCCTGGAGCGTAGTGGGGGCCAGCGGGGAGGGTCCCTCAGGTGCCAGGTCCCAGCTCCCACCCTGCCCACCTTTCGGAGCCCTGGCCGCACCCCAGGCTCCCACGCTTTCTGTTTAAAAAGCTCTTCTTTTTGGTCGCGTAACAGGGTGGGTTTTGACAGAACATTTTCAGATCAGCCTTCAGGCACTGCTCCTCCCAGGGCTCTGAGCTCAGCCAGTAGGTGAAGGAAGTGCTAACCCTATGACAGGTAGGGGTTCCAGGTGAGAAATCTGGGCGCATGTCCACGCCGGGGCCAGCGCTCCCTTCAGCCAGGCCTGACCCACCGGGCGTCCGTCCGCTTGAGGACCATGTATGTTAGTGCCAGGCACGGGTTCCCCGCGGCCTTTTCCACGTGGACAACGCTGGGCTGGCTCCGAGCTGCCTGGTTCTGGCGTCGTCAGCTGAGTGGGACGTGGGCTGGAGGCAGCGGCACGGGGGTCCCAGGGGGGCTGACTGTCAATTCCTTTCAGTCCCTGCGATTACAGGCTGTTGGTGACAGTGCGCCTTGCTCCCTGCGGGCCGGCCTCCTAGTTCCCGGGCGCCTGTGCTACCCACGGCCCGTCCCGGCCGCCGCCGCCCTTGGCCACCTGCTTTTAGGCTCCATTTGCAGGTTCTGATGGGCCAGGTCCCTTTCTGCATGCACACGCTGTGGGCCGAGAAACCTGGAGGAGCAGGGCTCTGGCCTGCGGCCACGGCTCCGTGCGAGGCGCAGCAGCATCGCCAGGTGCCGTCCCCGTTCCTCCGCTCCGTGTGGCGGGCTTCTCCCACGAGCAGCACGGCCCCTGGGACCCAGGGCCCCTGGTGACAGGTCCCTCAGAGCAGCTCCCAGGAGAATGGACCGGGACTCCCGTGCTGGGGCCCATCTGCAGGACCCTTTCCTGAGCCTGGCCGCTCCCCGTCCGGCCCCCTTGGGTTGTGGTGCCTTCGCAGGTGGTGGAGGGTTAGGGGTGAGAGGACAGACTGAGGCCCTTGTGCCAGCTCCATGCTCAGGGCCCATGCACCTCCTTCAGGCCTGCTATCCGCATCTTCCCCTTCTCGGAGCAAGCCGTGCGCCAGGCGGCCCTGTGTGTTCCCGGGGGGCCCATTCCCCACGGTTCCTGCCGGCACACACGGAGGCCCCACAAGCACCTGAACCAGAGGTGGAGGGCGTGGGGAGCAGGCCTCCTGACCCTGCGGCCTTCACAAGGGGGAGGGGTGCAGGCAGTTCTGTCCTGGAGTTAAAAAGCCTCTGGGATGTCATGTGACTGGGACTCAGTGCGAACACTAAGGACCTGCACGTCAGGCAGGACCCGCCTCGCCGTGTAGCGTGTTCTTGGGCCGCACGGTGAGGGCTGCCTTGGGACACGCTCATATGCACACTTGGCAGTGGGTCACGTGCAGACCACCCTGTCCCAAGGGAGCCCCACCCCAGGGAGAATGTGGTCCCCAGCGTGGGGCTGACCTCGGGGTGGGGTTCAGGTCTGAGGATGCGGGGGTGCTGAGGCCCAGGGGGCAGGCAGGCGCTCCTTAGGTCTGTGCTGGGTGGGCAGCCCTGGCCAGGGCGTGGGGGGGGGGGCAGGTCACCCCGGGGTCGAGCGCTGGGTCGTGGGACATTCGTTCTGGGGCTGTAGCTGTTTCTGTTGTGACTTGACTAGAACACCGTTTGCAATTGTTTGTATTTCATTATAAAAATAAAGCTTCGCTCCCGCTGTGCGGCCCTGCACCTCTGTGGAAAGGTCTCCTCATGCGGGCGCCTTCCCTTCCACACCCGCCCCCGCCTCACGGGACACGCAGGGAACGTGATGACATTTACAGTGGGTCATCCTGCCACAGAGAGGTGCCCAAACAGCGCGGTCCCATCCCAGGGTGGCCGCTCCCTCGGCCCCCAGAGCCGGCAGCGGCCGGGGTTGGGATGCTGGGGGGGGGGGGGGGGCAGGACCCCGGCTGTTCGGTGCCCCCTTTCTCAGGAGGTACAGGCGCCGCCTCCAGGGTGGGGGGCTGGGGAGCGGGAGTGAGGGTCACTCACTCAGAGCCTGTCTGGCCAAGAGCGAGTCACAGGGACAGGCCCAGGGCCCAGCTGTGCCCACTCACATGCCGGCAGCGTGAGGCACCAGGGCAGGGAGCGGACGAGGTGGAGGCACACTCAGCTCTGCCCCGATGGAGGCCATGCCTTTGGACTGGGCAGCCACGGCCCCCTGGGCCCTGCGTCCCACCACCAGCTGGTCAGACTTGCACCCAGAGGGGCAGGACCTGTGCTGACGGGGGGAAGAGGGGGTGCTTTCATGGGAAGCAAGGCCCCGGCTACGACGACGACGAGCTGGGCCTCTGTGGTCCTGTCTGGCCCACCTGCACCCAGGACGGGCAGGGCCTGCCTCTAAGGGAGTCTCCTGTGCCCAGAACGGGTTTTCCTGGCAGATGGGCCGACCCAGTAGGGGCTGGTGGCAGAGACAACACTAAAGTAAAAGACCCTTCAAACCCCCGCTTGGGAATGGGGCAGCCTGTGGCGGGGGGCACTGCTCCTCGTGGCCCTGCAGTGGGTGGTGCTCCTGGGGGGGGATGGCGCTGCCCCAGGGGCCCGGGCTGACCTCAGGAGGGCTGACCCGGAGCCGGTGCCCCTGGGAGGCCGAGGCGGCGGCTTTCCTGGTCAGCAGGACTGGGTCCCAGCGTCCCTCGCACGCCCTCGGCGCTGACTGTGTAGGAGCAGGAGGAGGGAGGCAGGTGGGGGGCGAAGACCACCCTCAGGGTGCGGCCTGGGCGGCCCCGCGGGGCTTCCTCGGGGCGCTGCCGGTCGGCCACCAGCCTCATGAGCAGCTGGTTGGACCAGGTGATGCCGAGGGCCGGAGCCAGGCGCTCCTCCGGGGCTCTGGGGCAGAGACGGGCCAGGGTCACTCACAGAACCAGGTGGCCCCGCCCACAGCCCCTGCCCCTGGCCCCGCCCACAGCCCCGAGCCCCTGCCCCTGGCCCCGCCCACAGCCCCTGGCCCCGCCCACAGCCCCGTGCCCCTGCCCGTGGCCACTCACCCAGGCGCTGTGTCCTGTTCCTCCACGGCCTCCGTCACCTGGGAGGGGGCTGAGGGTCAGTGGCAGAGCACCCCCTCGTGGAAGGAGGGAGGGCGCGGGGGGGGGGGGCCCACCTGGTTGACACAGAGCACGGGGCTCCGGAAGGTGCAGCTCAGTCTGCGCAGCGCGGCCCCCAGCGCCTGCAGAGCCCGGGCCCTGCGCGCCGAGGCCGAGGCCGGCCCGTCGAACTCGCAGCGGAACGGGGCCGCCACCGAGTCGATGACCACCAGGCGCACCATCCCCCGCGACAGCAGCAGGGGCACCTTCCTCCGCACACACTCCAGCAGCGCGTCCTGGAAGGGGGTGGGGGGCCGTCACCGCCCGTCCCCCACCTGGTGCTGAGGCCCCTCACCCCTCTGTCCTGCTTCCCACATCCTTGTGGGCGTGACCCTGCCCACTCAGGGCCACCGTGACCCTCCCTCGCTGGCCTTGCGCCTGTGCTGACCACCGGGCCCTGGCCCGTCCCGGGGCAGCTGGGCCTGCTGAGGCTGCCGGGACCGTGCCCTGTCGCTCGGGCCGGGGTGGCCCTGAGCCTGGCAGAGGCGGAGGGGGCAGCAGGCCTGGGTTGGGTCTCCTCACCCAGCCCTGCCTAGGACGAGGGGACCTGGGCCACGCCCAGGCTGCACACTGGGGCCCGGGCCCGGCCGGGCCAGGATGGGGCTGCCAGTGCCTTGAGCTGGCCCTGCCCACCCTGCAGGCCGTGTGCTCCCAGCAGCCGGCCTGGTGCGCGGGGGCCAAGTTGGCTGGGCTCCGGGGCAGGGCAAGGTGACCTCAGGCTGCCCCTTGGGTCACTTTGCCTGCCAGCGGGACTCAGGCCCAGTGCTGGGCCGCCAAGCCCCGCCCCCCTCAGACTCTTCAGAGCCGTGGGTGGTCCTGGCCCTGACTGCGGCCTGGCCGCTGTGCTTGTCTGCAGGGCGCCCCCGGAGACTGACAGCGGAGGCAGCGGGGTCGAGGATGGCAGCACTAATGTGAGTCCGAGTCCTGGGGCAGCACCGGCACGGGGAGGGCGGGGCCAGGGCGCCCCGGAGGCCTCCAGACAGACACCCGGGCAGAGGGTGGAGGCCTGCTCCCCCCACAGCTGGTTCAGAGCCATCGGGCGCCCGCCCCTGACCCGCAGCTTCTCTTGCAGTGAGCGCACCGCCGAGACCGCCAAGGGCCAGGCACGCTGCTGGCGAGGCAGAGCTGCCCTGTGACAGCCCGCACCGTCGCCGCGGCTGGAGGGCCCTGGAGCTGGGAGCCTGTGGCATGGACCTCCTGTCCCTGTCCTGTGCCCGGCGCCATCACACTAACCGCCACCCTGCTCGGCCCATCCCTTCCTCTCACTGTGTGTGATAATGTATTTTATTGTAAATTTTTTAAAATATTAAAAGTTTATATGCCTGATTCCTGATGTGAAGTTAAAGAACTTCAATTCTTACAGCAGGAAGCCAGGCCGCTGGAGAGCCACCCCCCTCCCGCCCCTCCGCCCCAGCCCCTCCACCAAACCATGACCCGGTCACCACACTGCCTTCCCGCCCCCGGCAAGTCCGCAGCGTGGCCAGGCGGTTGGCGATCGAGGGGCGGGTCCAGGCGGGTGCCTTCCCCTCAGACCGGGGCTGGGGGCCGGCAGACACTCACCACGTCGGCGACGTGCTCGATGAAGATGTGGTCGCCAAAGTTTATCTTCTCCACCACGTCGCCGGGAGCATCTGTCCGCAGACGCCGCTGCTGCGCGATGAGCTGCTGCAGGCGCCTGTCAGGGAACGCGTCCTCCGTGCACACGTACACGGCCCCTGTGGAGCCACGGCGCCCGTGGGCCTGCAGGTTGGGGTGTGACCACCGCCAGGGAAGGGGTGGCACCTGTGGGCCAGCCCACAGCCCAGGGGACTTCCTGCTGCCGGGACCTCTGGGTCCCCGTGGGGCAGGGCTGGCCACTCTTCCCAGAGGCATCCACAGCCAATGAAGAGAAACAACCGCAGGAGCCGGGCCCTGGTCCCAACCGCGATGGGCAGCGGCCAACAGAGCCGGCCGCAGAGCAAGGGCACCCGCCCCTGTCCCTCCACCACAGGGCGGCACTCACCCGCCTCCAGGCCTCCCAGCCGCCGCGGGAGCTGCACGGCCAGGCAGAGCTGCAGCGCCAGCTGGGTCTTCCCCACCGAGCTGCGGCCGGCCAGCTCGGTGATGCCGCCCAGGGGCAGGCCGCCGCGGAGCAGCCCGTCCAGCACCGGGCAGCCCAGGCTCAGGCGCTGGTGCTGCTCGGGGAAGCGCCCCTTCTGCCGGTGCAGGTCCAGGGCTGGGGGGAATGCCGCGTCAGGAGGGGGCAGGCGCCAGAGGGCCGGGTGCCGCAGCCAGGAGGCCCCTCCCAGCAGTGCTGCTCCGGCCCCCTCGGCCGTGCCCCTTCCCCTCTGGCCCAAGCACTGACCCGCGGAGCGACCCACAGGGCAAGGGCCCCAAGGCCCTATGGCCCCCAGGCATCTGATCCCAGCGCTGCCCACGCCCTGCGGTCACTTCTCACTGAGTCCCTGCCCGTGGCCCAGCAAAGGAGCTGAGCGGCAGACGGGGAGGAGGCCCAGGGCCTTGGCAGAGCACACCTGCGCTGCCCACCTGCGCTGCCCACCTGTGCAGAGGCTGCCCCCCCGCAGGTGCGAGCAGACCGTCCTCAGCAGGTGCTGCACGTCGGGGCCCGAGAGGCCGGTCAGCCGCTGCAGGTCTGGTCCAGAAAAGTGCAAAACCTCCTGCGTGGATTTCAGTTTGGCTGAAATTATACAGAATAAGCCACAGGACAAGGTCAGACGACAACAAGGCAGCAGGGACTTGGGGTGCCATCTCCAACTCGGGGGGCCCCGCGGGCAGGGGCCAGACCCATCTGCTCCCCAGCGATGGCATCCCTGGGCGGAGTGAGGACACAGGACAAGGAAGGAGGGGCCTGGGGCGACCCCCTCAGCTGCAGGAGCCAAGCCAGAAGGGTGGGAGGTGGGGGTTGGGGGTGCAGGGCCTCTCCCCTGTCCTTCCTGCCGGTCAGCAGGGGCGGGGCGCCCAGGAAGGCGGGAGATTCCGAGGAATGCAGGGCATGGGAAAAGGAGGCAACGACCAACTACTAACGTTGGGGGAAACGAGACGGTCACCCCCACCCCCACCCCCAGTCCCACAAAGGCCGCTATGTCCCCCTTCACACCCGAGCGGGCATGGCCCAGTGTGTTCCAACCGGGGCCCGCGGGCGCCAGGAGCTCTGCGAAGCGGCCGCCACAGGCACAGGCAGAGCATGCGCCCGGGTTCAGAACCCGGGTTACAGGCAGGCTCCCCGTGCCGGGTGCCTGCGTCGTTGCTTAGACAACGTGCATGAACTACTTGGATGAAAAGAAACTTTTAAAAAGTGCTTTCAGTCCCACAACGGAAAAGCCCGCCTACACATCCCAGCATCCGTGCAGGATCCAGGGCGGCCCGCGGTCCAGGGCGGCCCGGGGGAGGGGCGGCGGGGAGGGACTCGGGCCGTGGTGCCTGCTTCACAGAAAGTCCGCGGACGTGTCCGCAGTGCGTACACTGTACACGCACGTCAGGAAGCTTACCTTTCTTCGCTGCGGCGATAATTCTGGGATTCAGGTCCAACTGATCCAAATCCATGTCTTCAGGGCGCTGACCACAAAGACGAACAATTTCCCAGGGACGCAGATTCTACGCGCTGGCGTCCATCAGACCGCCTAGCGGCCCTTCGCGACAGGTCAGCCAGCCCCCGGGTTGGAGACAGCACTCGGCAGGGACCCCACAGGGCAAGGCTACGGCAACACCTGTCGGAGCCGCCATCTGGTAACGGAAACCCTGGCACGGAAGAAACGCCCGATTTCCTGTCACCAGAGCACCCGCTGTCCTGGCCCCGCCCCACCTCCCCGTCGAGGACCACGTGCAGACCCACGCGCACTGGGCTCACTCAAGTGAAGTGTCTTTTGTATCCTCCGCCTTAATTTCCCTTGAACGCGTTTCCATGGGGAACCTGCCGAGAGCGGGAAAGTGTTTGGGATCTTGCAGGATGCTCGGGGCGGGTGGGTGTTGAGCCTGCGTGACCACCAGGCTGTCTCAGCGGAGAACAGGGCGGCTGTGCCCCGGGCGGGCCTCCCAGGGCCTGAGCACTAGCCGCACAGGGACAGGAGCCCAGCCCGCTGGCTGCCACTCAGCCAGGGTCACCCTCAAGCCACTGTCTCCTCACGGCCCCCCAAAGCAGCAGGGTGCGGGACACCAGGCCTGCAGCACTGGGGCCAGGGCCAGCGTCGCTGTCCACCAGGAGGCCCGTGCTCTGGCTGAGGGGACGGCCAGAGCCTAGGGTGCCACGCCCACTGGGACATGGGCTGTTCTCCACACTCGCACATCCGGTCAGGGAGACACAGGTCTGGCGCTGGGGCGGGTCCTCATGCCCAGGACGTGCTGGGTGAGTTCGGGCCCAGCACGGCTGTGCAGATGGCCCTGGCCCCTGGGAGGCAGCTGAGGGCTGGGCTCCAGCTGGCACCGGGCTCCGAGCCCCAGGGGTTCAGGCCAGCAGGCGGGTCCCACATTCTGCCTGGCGCAGGGGGCATTGGGCAGGGATGGGCTGTCTGGGCAGGGCTGACAGTAAACACACAGAGGTGCCCCCTCTTCCTGGCCGCCCTGCAGATTGGAGCAGGGGGTGGCTCCCCCGCGGGAGGGCGGTCACTGCACGCAGGGCCTGTACCAGCTGCGATGGGGATTCTGATGAGCCTGAAGCTGGTGCGGTTAGATTTCTGAGGACCGCAAAGGACATGCGGTGTCCTCACCTGGCTGGGCAGGGAGACCATCTTCAGAATCCTGGAGCCCGAGGACAAGGACAGGCGGGAAGAGTGACCACCCCAAGCACCGCCTCCAGGGCCAAGAGCACCTGGACACAACACCGTTTGCTTTCAACTTTCACCTCCGGAGAACGTGCCGGCTCTTCCCCGGCCTCGGGGACGCCCCTGGGCAGCCCTGGGCGGAGGGCACAGCGACAGGCCAGGCTGGGGGCTGCGCCGCAGGGACGAGTGGCCCGGTGAGGGAGGCTCTGGCTGAGAGCACCTGGGGCCGGTGCGGACAGGGCCAGGGAAGCTGGTAGAGGCTGCGCCTCCAGGAGGAATACAAAACTTGGATTCCTACGAGGCCCCCGGAGGCTGTGCCCACTGACAGGCACCTACAGTACCAGGCACTGGACGGCCAGCCCCGGGCTCAGGATCTGCACAGGAGCGCCCCCAGTCAGGACAGACGGGGCAGCTTCCCGGGGCAGCTGAGTGCAGCCACTTAGGGGACCAGTTAACAGACACGCGCTGAGCGAGCATGAAGGAGCTACAGGGAAAGCAACGTGTAGCTGAGGATCAAACAGGAGGCATTCAGGAAACCGGTTCCCGCCTGGAGCTTCCCTAGGGGCGTCCTGTGTCTTCGGGGCTCTCAGGGCGCAGGCCTGGGTCCCGCACCAACACCCCACACTGGGTGGAGGGCTCAGAGCTGCAGACGGGACTCCTGCCTCGGGCAGCAGGACTCAGGTTTCAAGGGCCTGAACTTGACTTGTGCTACAGAACTAAAGGTAGGAGCATAAAGACCTTCCAACCCTAGCGTCGCAGGAGCTGGTCTGTTGCTCCAGGGACTGTTCTAAGCCCCTGATGCGAAGGGCCCTCGCGCACACCTGCAGCAGCGCCGCTGCCCACTCCCTGCTGCCGAGCGGACGCGCGGTGGCGAAGTGACGAGCTGGGGCCACACAGCCAGCAAGTGGCTGCCCTCGGGCTGCGCTCCAGGCTGCGTGCCCTCAGCCCTGGACCAGTATTAGCCGGACCCCAGCCTACATGGCCTCCTGCTAACCCAGCGGGCACTGACCTCTGCCCGCTCTGCAAACCTAGGCACCCCGAGGCCGACCTGCTTAGGGGCCCAGCCTCGTCGGGGCAGCCCACTCGAGACTGGGCATCGTTCCCACCCCCCTCCCCCCCAGCGAGGGCTCTCAGGGTCCGCGGTGGCCACCCCTCCCCCACGCTGGGGCCCCTGGGCCTCCTCCTCCTTGAGCACTGCCCCTTCCCCCGTGACCCCCGACCCGGGCGTCCACAGGGCCCTCCCGATGGCCCCGCCTCCCCACCGCGCACCTGTTCTTCCCACTGTGCACCCCCTCGCCGTGGTTGTCCACCCACCACCCTTGACCCCACGCCGTCTCTACCTCTAAAGCACCCCCACTTCACGCGGTCCGGGCTCACCTCTCACCCCACGAGTCCTGGACAGGGGCTGGGCTGCGCCGCCTCCTCCAGACCCTGCGGGTGGCAACCCCAGCATCAGCCTCCTCCCCGCGCACCGGCCCCGGGTCGCCTCCCACCGCCAGGACCTGTGCCCTGACTGCCCCTCCGCCACCGCCTGGCCTCCACCCGCGGCGCCCCGGCCCCGCAGGACAGCAGCTCCCACCTCGCGCGCGCGATCCACCATTCGTGCTGGCCCGCCCCTCGCAGCCTCCTCTTCCAATGAGCGCCAGGAGCCCCGCGAGGGATACGCCAATCAGAGAGGAAGCAGAGTTACGTCACAGGCTAATTGACCAATCCAGAGTCTCAATTGCCAAGAGGGGCGGGGCGTTCCTGTGCTGGCCCTCACTGCCGATTGGTGACTGACCGCAGGGTGGCAGGGGAGGTGCCTTGCGCAGATTGGAGAGCGCAGCGATGGGGCGGAGCCAGAGTTCCGATTGGCCCGGGCTCAGGGCCGAGCGTGCCGATTGGGCGCGGGCGCTGTCAGCGGCACGGATGGGGCGGGGCTTTGGTCGGGGCGACCGAGGGCCGTGTGAGGGCAGTGGGCTCGCGCGGCGGCGTCATGTCCTCCGAGGTGGCCGCCCGCTGCGACGCCAAGAAGTTGGTGCGCTCGCCCAGCGGCCTGCGCATGGTGCCCGAGCACCGCGCCTTCGGCAGCCCGTTCGGCCTGGAGGAGCCGCAGTGGGTCCCGGACAAGGAGGTAAGTCGGCCGCCCGCCCGCCTCCCGTCGGCGCCCGGGACCCGCGTCCACACCCCGAAAACCCGCGTCCGCATCCAGGATCCCCCTCCGCACCCCGGAAACCCGCGTCCGCGCCCAGGGCCCCCGTCCGCGCCCAGGATCCCCGTCCCCATCCCCCAAGCGGGCCCGGACCCGCCCCGCTCCCCGAGGCCTCCCCAGCCCGACCCGCTCTCGGCCCCCCGCTCCCCTCCGCTGGCTCCTGCCGCCCTCCGGGTCCCCGCGCGGCCGCCCTCTGGCACCTGCTCTGCGCCCCCGGGGGGTCCCGGGCTCCGGGCCTTGGGCATCTGCCTTCTCCCAGGTTCCCGCTCTCGGGGCTCCCGGAGCCCCCCATCCTACCCGCCCGAGCCTGTGTCCCTGGCACGGACCCCCTCCTGGGCTTGGCTCACCCGGAGGGCGTGTGAGTCCCACGACGTGGATGAGTGGCTGTGCGGGGCCTCGAGACCCAGGGACCCCCACCCCGGGGAGCGGGGCCGTCCCTGGGGCGCCGGCGTGTGGCCCGCGGGGCGGGGACGCGGGGGGGGGACGGCACCTGCCCGGAGCGGGGTGGGTGGCGGGGGAGGTGAGGGCGGGGCCCGGTGAAGGCCGTTGGGCGTCGGGTCAGCGGTGGGCCCCGCATCACCCTCGGGGCCACGCACCCCTGCGCGTCAGGTCGCCCCCAAGACCCGGAGCCGAGACGGAAGTGAGATGCGCCGGGGGCGCCGGCTGCGAACGGCAGGATGCCCAGCGCCCCCCACACGGCGCCCCGTGCGCCCCTCGGCCCAGGCTCCTCACCACGGAGCGCCCCTTCCCTCCGGCCCGGCTGTGTGTCTGCGTGTGTCCGCCCGTGGCCGTGGGGGATCCCATCCCGCCCTCCGCGTGGCTGCCTTCCTCTCCCGGGGGAGTGAAGTCGAGGGTTTCAAAGCAGCCGAGTGAGGGGGGCAGCGGGGGCAGGGCCACTGGAGGAGGACACCCCTTGTTGTGCCGCGGGCCCTGGTGTCGGCGGTGCGGGCGGTGCGGGCGGCAGCGCAGTGTTGGGAGTTGAGAGGCCAGCACAGGGGTCGGTGGGAGATGATGGGGCGCTGGTGGGGAGATGATGGGGCGCTGGTGGGGAGATGATGGGGCGCTGGTGGGGGAGGTGGTGGGGAGGGCGGCCCCTGCGCCCTGTTGCGCCCGTCTTGTCCGCGTTCTGCCCGCGGCGCTGGTGCTCTGACCGCCGGAGGCACCTCCCTCCCCGCTCCCCCCTCGGGTCCCGCCGTGAAAGGACAATGAAAGGAAAGAGGCCGAGCCGCCCGCCGTCGGGAAGCCAGCGGCAGAGTGACCTGGCGGAAGGCCAGCGAGCGACTGTCCCTTCCGACGGGGCGGGCCGCCCTGGGCAGGAACCATCGGGGCGTCACCCGCGCCCCCTGGCGGCTCGGGCCCGCGTTCCCGGCTCTCGCCCCCGAGGAGCCTCTCCACACCCGTTCGCACTGACCCCGCGGAGCCCCTGCTGCTCGGCTGTGGGGGCCCGGGGGCCGGGGTGGGCGCCCTGGTTCCCCGGAGGCAGCTCCCACAGCGCGTGGCGGGTCCCAGCTCAGGCCGCTCGCCGGTCCCTCACTCCCTCGCCCCTCCAGCCCGTGGCTGTCCCGCTGCCTGTCCCGCGCGGTGCAGCCGGCTCTGTGGAATGCGGGGCGGGGCGGGGCGGGGCGGGGCGGGCGTGCCTGGAGCCCGGAGCCCGGAGCCCGGAGCCCAGAGCCCAGAGCCCGGAGCCCAGAGCCCGGAGCCCGGAGCCCCGCCCGGAGCCCGCGGGCCTCTGAGGCTCTGGCGAAATTCCGAGAAGCCGGTGGCAGAGCTCCGCTCCGTGGCGCCCTCCCGCACCAGTTCCTGCCCACGCGGGCCAGGGGGGCGGCCGCCGGGAAGGAGGGGTGGCCCCAGGCTGTGTCCTCCCTGCGCTGGGCGTGCCCGCTGGACACCGGGCTGCGCTCGGCCTGGTCAGGGCTGGGGGACGGCTCCCTCCTGGAGGCGCGCCTGCGGGAAGGGTTCTGGGCGCGGTCGGCCGGGTCTAGGCAGAAGGTGGCAGGAGGGGCCTCGCCCCCAGGCCCGGCGGTGCCTTTCCGGGCTTTCCCTGCCCGCGGTCCACTCACCTGCGTGGGCCTGGGCCTGAGTCTCACGGGGAGGGCGGGGGAGGTGGAGCTGCTGGTGGCGCCCAGGGGACCCCCAGAAGCCACCCTTTCCCCGGCTGCCTCCCTCCCGCCCGCACCAGGAGGCCTCGGAGGGAGCGCAGGGCCCGAGGCTCCTGACCCTGCTGCCCGGGAATCGGAGGCCCTGCTGGCGGCCCCCCGCCCCACCCCCCCCCCGCCCCCGCCAGGTGTCTGTCTGTCTGTCTGTTTATGGAGTCAGTCCAGCCAGGGTCCGGCAGCAGATGGGTCTGTGTGTGCGCAGGTGTGTGTCCCCGTGAGCACACCTCCACCTGCACCCCCTGCGCCCCAGGTTTCTGAGGCCCTTTGGTGGGTCAGCCCGGTGACGGTGCTGTGGCGCTCAGCCTGGCCCCCAGCGGTCAGTGCGAGCAGCTTGATCTCAGACACTTGCCCCGCTCGGTGGGGAGGGGGGTCACAGCCGGGATGGGGGCAGCCGGGGAGGGGAGGGGGCAGCCGGGGAGGGGGGCAGCCGGGGAGGGGAGGGGGCAGCCGGGGAGGGGGGCAGCCGGGGAGGGGGGTCGCAGCCGGTCCCTAGACTCGAGTGCTTTCCCTGTCCGCCCAGTAGCAGCTCTCGGAGCTGTGGGCGGTGCCTCCTTCCCTCTCTCCCTCCCTCCCTCCCTCCCTGTGCTGCCGTTAGACACAGTGTTCGTTCTTTTCCTCTCGGATCGCCACCCGTTGCTTCGTTTCCTTCTTTCCTTCTCTTTTCATATTGAACTGCTCTGTTGATAATTTCAAAACATTTTTTCCTCCTACACGATCAACGGGAAATTACCTGGCTTAAGGTCTGTCGATTTTCTGAATAACCTCATTGGTTATTTAGGGGAATAAAATACTTCTGTATCACTTTGTTTTTTTGCTTTTTTGTTAATCCTCACCCCCAGGTATTTTTTCCATTGATTCTTTTTAGAGAGAGTGGGGGGGGGGGGTGGAGAGAGAGAGAGAGAGAGAGACATCAAAGCGAGAGAGGCACATTGATTGGTTGCCTCTCCCACACGCCCTGACCAGGGCCAGGGATCGAGCCTGCCACAGCTACATGCCCTTGACTGGACTCGAACCCGGGACCCTCCAGTCCATGGGCCAACACTCTAACCACTGAGCAACCAGCTAGGGATTCACTTTGTTTTTTAAGGGAGCAGCTTGTAAATTGTAGTTGTGGCCTTAAGTTCAGAGATTGGTCTTTGGACTTGCCCAGACGCGTGTGCCCTGCAGGGACCCACCGGCGGGGCAGCCCTTGTCAGCGGGCCTGGGAGGACGCGGCGGCTCCCCCGGAGCCGGCACACTCGGTGGGACCCGCTCCCGCGCCTGCGCCTTTCGGGTCCGTCCACCTCGCTGGTTACAGCCCGTGGGGCCTGTGGCTGGGGGTGTGGTCCGGGGAGAGAGGGGCCCTATGCAGAGGCCCGAGCAGGACGTGAGCAGCCAGCCCACCCGGAGGTTGTGGGGACGCTGTATGGAAGCCGGGGAGGGGGCGGGGCCAGGCCGTGGCCACGCCCAGGAAGTAGCCCAGCGGAAGGAGGGCCGGCGGGTGTCCAGGACACCAGAAAGGTTGCGGGCTCAGCCCCTGGTCAAGGGCATACAGGAGGCAACCGACCGATGTTTCGCTCTCTCCCTTCCTCGCCCTAAAACCAAGAGGACATGTCCCAGGGTGGGATTTTAAAAAAGCAAAGAGGAAACAGGATGGTCACGGGGTCTTGCAAAGCTCAGGCTTGGCCTCTGGTGCGGGGCTGCGGGTCCGACAGCTGACCTTCCGCAGGCCCTGCCCGGGCTGGGGCCGCCGCCCCCTCCGGGAGGCCCGCCTCGCTGCCTCCCGGATGCTGAGAGCAGGGCTGGGTCCTCAGAGGGCTCTGACCTCCCCTCTCTCCTAGTGCCCCCGGTGCATGCAGTGTGACGCCAAGTTTGACTTTCTCACCAGAAAGGTGAGCTGAGGCCGTGGGCGGGAGGGGCCCCGGACATCCACTCTCCCTGGGGTGCCCTGCTCGGAGCCAGTGGGGCGCAGCGCGGTGGGCCCGGGTGGGGCCGTGCGGTCCGCTCACTGCCCGCCCCCTCGCCCCCAGCACCACTGCCGCCGCTGCGGAAAGTGCTTCTGCGACAAGTGCTGCGGCCAGAAGGTGGCGCTGCCGCGCATGTGCTTCGTGGACCCCGTGCGCCAGTGCGCGGCCTGCGCGCTCGTGTCACGCAAGGAGGCAGAGTTCTTCGACAAGCAGCTCCGCGTGCTGCTCAGCGGTACGTGGCCTCGCACGGGTGGTCCTGGCGGTGCCTGCGGAGGGGGCGGTGCCTGCGGAGTGGGCGGTGCCCGCGGGGGCGGTGCCTGCGGAGGGGGCGGTGCCTGCGGAGGGGGCGGTGCCTGCGGAGGGGGCGGTGCCTGCGGAGGGGGCGGTGCCTGCGGAGTGGGCGGTGCCCGCGGGGGGCGGTGCCCGCGGGGGGCGCGGTGCCTGCGGAGGGGGCGGTGCCCGCGGGGGGCGGTGCCCGCGGGGGGCGGTGCCCGCGGGGGGCGGTGCCCGCGGGGGGCGGTGCCTGAAGAGGGGCGATCCCCAGGATCGCTGCAGAGGCGGGTGGGAGCTGGCTGTCCTGTAGTTGCAGACGTGCCTGAACCGCTGTCTCCCTTTGGGGGGCTTGGGCCACTACCTGGTCTGCTCTCGTGTGGGGCCACGCGCCCGGGCAGCGCCGTTCTTACACGGGTGTCAGGACCGGGCCCCCAGAACACAGGGCCAGCAGCCTGCGGGACCTTCGCCTGGCCATTTGGGGGGCGGGGCATGGTGACGCAGGAGGACTAAGGTCTGCCTCCCCGCACCCCTCTACCCCAGCACGCCTGGTTCTCGCCCTGGCCAGCTCTCTGGCAGGCCCTGCGGCCCTGGCCTGGTGGCTCCTGCAGTGTGTGGAGGCCAGGGCCCTGGGCTGGGCCTTCTGTGAAGGACGTGGTGATTGGCGCTTCCACGGCCAGCGGAGTCTAACGCAGAGCCAGCACCGTCCTGCCCAGCGAGGGCTCCAGCAGCGCCCGCTTGTCTTGCTCCTTCTCTTGCCTTGCCCACCCGCTCCCTTCCTCCGTGCCCACAGCGGGCGCACTGTGCCCTTACAGGGGCCTCCTGCAGCCTCCAGGCTCTCCTGCCCATGAGGCAGAGTTGGGCAGCATCACCACCTGTCCCCTGGCTGTCTGGGGCAGCGGGCAGTCGGATTCACCCTGGGGCAAAGGGTGGGGTCAGCCCAGGGCCCTCTGCTGCCTCCTTGGGGCCTGAGGCCAGGGAGGAGGTCGGGCTGACAGGGTGACTTGGAGCTGCCTGCGTTCTTACGCTTGTTTTTGTGCCTCAAGGAGCCGCCTTCCTCGTAAGTTTTGGAAACTCCGAGAAATCAGAAACGATGGTTTGTCGCCTTTCCAGCAACCAGAGGTAAGAGGCAGAGCCCTCGGGAACTGGCAGCTGCCCGCGAGCCCCGGTGACCGGGACGCCCTCCGTTTGACAGGTACCTGCTGCTGGACGGGGCCAGCCACCACGAGATCGAGGTCACGCACATCTTGGCCGTGCAGCTCCTCACGGAAGGCTTCCCCGCTGGAGGTACATGCGCCTGCACCTCATGGAACGGAGGCCGGGCCAGCCGGGAGGCAGGGACGCAGCGGCACCGAGGTCGGGGCTCCCTGTGGGCAGGTCCTGGAGATGCCTGTCCTCTCTGTGGGCTGGTGCTGCTTCGTGGCTCTGGGAACTCGCCAGGCGAAGGGGGGCGGGGGGCGTAGCGTGTACAGGAGGAAGGGCGCCTGAGCGTGTTTACTCAGGAGCTCCCCTACAGCGCTCCAGCCACGGCTGCAGGCCACGGGCGGCTGGCGGCACCCAGACCCCAGGGGCTGGAGTGTGTCTGCGAGCGCCAGGCCTCCGCTTTCCTGCGCGAACTCCCTGAGGTCCAGCCCTGTTCAGCCCGCCGGGATCTTTCCCACTGAACTCCTGGGCCCCGGGGCTGTCTTCCCGCTGGAACCCACCGACTTAATCCATCTCGCTTTCTGTTTTCTGATGGCTCTTGGCTGCTCTTCTCTCCTGCCTGCCCACCTTCCTGCCTAGACAAAGACACGCACACTTACACCAGCCTCCTGGGGAGCCCGCCCGCCTCCGAAGGTCAGCCTCGCTCCCAGCATGCCATGGGCCCGTGCCCTGCCTCTGCTGCGGGAGGTGGGGGGTCGCACAGGGCCTCTGAGAAATGCTCATTCACTCCTTTCGGCCAGTTTGAAAGAGGGTTGGCATCTCAGCAGCAATGGGAATGTCCTGGGGAAGACAGGGATTTGCTGTTTTCCTCACCCCAGGGGAGTGTCACCCCTGTTTCCCAACCTCTTGTTGGAACTGCTGTCCCTCAGCAGGTGGGGTGCAGGGTGTTGGGGAGCAGGGCCTGGTGGCCCTTCCGGCACCTTCCTGACCGTCACAGTGGGCACACTGTGCTCCTCCAAGAGCCTCCTTGCGGCCCCCGGGCTTGCCTGTCCCGATGGGCAGTCAGATCCGCCCTGGGGCAAAGGGCAGGGTCTGGAGAAGCTGGGGTCAGGTCAGCCCAGGGGGCCCTCTGCCGCCTCCTTGGAGCCTGAGGCCAGGGTAGTAACTATTCAGGTCTGTCAGCCCGAGGGACTTGCAAAGTAGCCAGAGGAGATGGCCCCTGTCATGGCTGTGCCAGTGCAACTCCTTCCAGTCAGGAGGTGGGTGGAGCCATCAGACTGACAGGAGCGCAGGCGTGAGCTCCTGAGAGGTCATAGGAGGCCTTTGGGCCTCTCAGCCGGGGCTCCCCCCACCGGCCTGGCGCAGAGAGGGCTGGAGGCAGGGAGGGGCTCCCAGAGGAGAGCACTGCCCAATGGGGTGGCCTCCTGCAGCCGCCAGGTAAAGTGTAGGTGACTCACCAGGGGCCTGCTGTCCACATCGCCGTCCTCGCTGCTGGGCACTGAAGGGCCCCTCATCCCGAGTGGCTGGTCCTGGGAGGTTTTGGCAGGAGTCGTCCCAGGGAGCAGCTGGCCCCACAGAGATGGGCACCATCTCCGCACCCCGTCCCCCGCGTGGCATTGCGGCGGGAGCTTGAGTATCGGTAGATGGGCCCCTGGGCTGGTGCCTCCCTGGTGCTAAGCCCTGCGCAGCTCCCCCGGCCGTGACCCTGGTCCTCAGGTGGGCAGCACTGACTGCCTGGCCTCTGCTCTGGTGCAGGCAGGGGTGACAGCTGAGCACAGGCCCCTGCCACCTCCTAGACCTGCACCAGGGTAGGGAGTGGCGTCTGAGCCTGCTGCCTCCCTCCCCCAGGGGGCGCCGCGCGGGCCACGGGCATGTCCCTGCAGTACTCGGCCCCAGGGGCGGAGGGCGTGGCCCAGCTGAAGCTGACTGCAGGGGAGGATGCACACGGCAGCAGGAAGCAGGCCACGGCGTGGCTGGCAGCCATGCACAAGGTATGGGCCGTGGTGGTTGGTACAGGGGCAGGCAGGAGACTGGGCCTCCTGCTGAGAGGGGCCCAGCTTCCCCAGGGCGAGGCTGCCCCCCCAGCTCCAGCCGGGCAGGACCCAGCACAGTTCTGTTTCTGTTGCCATGCAGGCCGCCAAGCTCCTCCACGAATCTCGGGACCAGTAACTGCACGGGCTGGAGCGCGGAGCCTGCTCACTGCCTCGCCCCGACCCCAAGCGTGGTGGGAAGGCAACGCCAGGCTTTGGAGAAAGTCGTGTGCGCTTACCTAGTGCGATACGTACACGTTTATTAACGCTCCAAACCGCTTCCAGCGCTAGAGCCTGCGTTTTCCTGTTGATGCCTAAGTGGGTGGAGACCCAGCTCCTCGACCGCTGAACTGTTTGTAGCATAACCTTTGCCATGTTTGTACGAGTCCAGGTTTACCAGGAGGTTCTGGACCCTCGTCTTCATGAACCGTCTCACGGGTGATCCGGGCCGTGGGCTCGGCAGCTCTGCCCTGCGCCTGCCGGAGCCGGGCTGCGGATGGCACTAATGGCACTAGGGCACTAATGCGGGGCTATGCAAGCCTTTGATACTTCACTACGGGGGAGGAGCCAGCTGTGTGTTTTGTACTTTTCACTCACTGTTTCACTTTATTAGAACAATTGTACAACAATTTGTATATAAAGCTTGATTAAACCCTATTTTGAGAATATGGGCCAGGCCTTGCCTCACTGTCGGGACCACCGTGCGTCCCTGCGGCGGCTCCGTTCACTCAGGACACAGACTCGCAGCCACGGGGAACAGTGTTTATTGCGCACGTCACACGGCATCGGGTGGAGGGGCCCGGCAGAGGCTGCCCGGGGTCTTCAGGCTCCATCAGCACTGTGCACACTCAGTGCTTAAAGGGGACCAGCACAGCAGCCGTCTATCCACACGTCTATACAGAATTATACACAGACTCGTCCGTGGAAAACAAAGCCTACGGGCCTGGAATTTAATGAGACTTCTCGACATCTCCAGCATCATCCTGGTAGTTGCGAACGTCTAGTCAAAAATACTTTTGGTATAAAAGCCTGTGCGTTCAGCTGCCTTCGGTGAAGGGCCTGCCAAGGTCACCGCATCATGGCTGGCCAAACGGGGAGGCCCACCCTCATGCCCACAGCTGCCCCTCCTGACGACCATGCCACCCGAGTGACCGGCCTCAGGCTCCTGGCCGGTGGGGGGCAGGGTCTGCCTACACTCAGGGCCCACCCAGCCCCAACCAGGCACAGAGCCAATGGCATTTCTCTTGTTTCTGGTTCCCATGAATTAATGAAATCGAGGGGCTGAACGGGGATCAGAACCACACCTGGGCAGCAAGGGCAGCAGAGAAGGGAGCGCAGAGGTCAGTGCGGACAGGCTCCTGGCCTTGGTCTCGAGGTCCCTGCCTGGGGCCTGAAGTCCAGCCCCGCACCACGGGCTGGAACAGGAAGTGGAACCCCCGTGTCAGGGCCACCGCACGGGTTTCCCTGCAGGCTGCTCTGGTCAAGAAGGGAAGGACCTGGTGCTGAGGTGCCCAGCGGCAGGTAGGCAGGGCTCGGGGAGCACGCACAGCAGCGGGCGCACTCACTGCTGGTGAGAGACATGGAGCATGAGGGTGGCCTTGGCGCCAGTCAGTCAGGCTTTGGTCTCCACTGGCAACCATCCGGGGGTTCACTCTAGGGCGTCTATTGGCAACAGGCGTAGAAAGCTGGGCATTTATTTGGGTTGACAGTCATTGGCAAAGCTCAGTCCTCTGGAGGCGGCTGGAGGAAGCCTCCCGAGCCTGCGGTTCACATTGTGGGCTTCTGCTGCGTGAGCACCATAGACTCCAGCTTCCGCGCAGGGACGCGGGCGACCTCAGCGGCTCCTTGGCGGGGCTCAGGCCAGCGTTCGCTGCCGGGGCTGGATCCGAGGACACAGCTGCAAGGACAGCGTCCAGGTCCAGCTCCTGTCAGCTGCCCGGGAGGCCCTGCCTGACACCCAGAGCACCCGCACCCAGCCCACCTCCACCCGGTCCGAGCCCCCCTCTCTCACAGCGACCTGCAGGCTCTCCCTCTCCCCCCTCCCCAGTAAGCAAGTTTCTGGGCTGCAGAGTTCTGATTGGGGTGAGATGGGGTGCCCGAGGGAGTTCCCACTAGAAAAAGGCACTGAGCAGCTGGGCTGGGCCCCCCACAGGGCCGACCGCAAAGGCCCGCCTGCAGAGCACTGAGCATGGGGAGGGCAGTGCCTGCCCGCGGGCCCCAGCAGGACGGGCCACGCTGGACAGCGGTTTCCGGGCACAAGCTCGGCGCGGCTGCGCACTCACCCCCAGCAGGTTTCTGGGCACGTAGCCCTCCCGGTCCCCCAGGCGAGCCCACCACCACTGGGTCTCGTGCTCATCCTTGCGCCTCAGGATGGTGATGGCGTCGCCTTCTCGGAAGGACAGCTCGTCGCTGTTCTGGGCCTCGTAGCTCCATAGCGCATACACCACGCCCTTGTTCATCACGCCCAGCTTCTCCTGCACCCCTGTGGCAAGACGGCCAGCGGTCAGGCCTCACGGAGGATGGGCAGCGAGAGCCCCGCTGCGGGGCCAGACCGGACGCACTGCTGCTTTTGGGCGGCCCAGCGAGGCCGAGGCGAGGCTGTGGGTCGGAAGCCAGGCCCAGCTGCTGCCCACGGCCACACCCTGCAGGTAGGCACTGCCGCTTGAGGGTCTGAGTCCACAGGCATTTCTTGGGGAGAAATGTACACCTCACATCTAGCACAAAGTTGGGGACCAAAGAGTGGGGTGACTGCTTGGAGGGCAGCTGGCACTCACACGTGGCAGTGCGGGGCCGGCCCACGCCCAGGAAAGCCCCGCAGGCTAGTGACCTGAGTGCCTCCCTCCTCCCGCCCATGGTCACTGTCCCACCATGGGCCTCCGGGCTGGCCGCCGCCTCGGTACCGGGAGCTTGTGTTTAGCCAGCTGCACAGCACCCTCCTGCCGACTCGGACTTTCAGACACGTCTCAGGAGGGAGCGAAGGGACAGGGGCTTCCCTCTGAACTAACTGGCTGCCCCTGCAGTTAGGGCCCTGTCTGCCAGCCCAGTGCATGCCCCCTGCAGGCCGAGAGGACGCCTGCGTACCATACAGAAACTGGGAGCACTGGATGTAGCCCTCCTCCATCTCCTCGCACTTGTCCGCAGCAGTTTCAATGTCGCTGATGGTCGAGGCAAAAATGGCGGCACCACTCTCCACCAGCTGTTTGCAGAGGTGCACGCTGTTGCAGGAGGCGGCACAGTGCAGCGGCGTCCTGCAGGGCGGGAGGTGAAGGCGTGTGTGGCCCCTGGAGTGGCAGGGCCCCGGGCTGCGGAGCCTCAGTGCCCGCCGGTCCCGCGCTGTCTCCAGTGGTGTGGTGTCCACTACCACCTGTCCTGGGCCTCACACACACTCCTGGAGGGCGTGGCTGAGGGGCGCCCGAGACAGGTGTAGGCAGCTGCCTGAGGCTGACAGCGACCCCGGGAGGCCGGGCCTCCATGGCAGCACCGGACCCCGCAGCCACGACCCCCGACCCAGCCACTAAACAGACAAGAGTCCTGACTGCTGAACGCGTGGCCGGGCTGCGTGTTAATCACCAGGTGGACAGACTGAGCCACAGCCCGGCCCGTGTGGCTCAGCTGGTTGGGCTTCATCCTGTGCAGAGAGGTCTTGGGTTCGATTCCCAGTAGGGGGCATGCAGGAGGCAGCTGATTAACGTTTCTCTCACTGATGGTTCTCTCTCTCTCCCCTCCCTTCCTCTCTCTTTAAAAGTCAATAAACACATTTAAGAAAAGGGAAGCACGGCTGTGCCTTTTACAACATCATCCAGAAAGCAAAGCGGAGGGTGTGCTGAGCAGCCTAGGACGAGTGGGCGCCCTGACCCCTCACCCTTCACTCCCTGTGCTCCAGACCCTCGGCCCCTCTGCCCCGCGAGGGGCTCACCAGCCATCGCTGTCAGCGGCGTTCACGTTGACACCAAAGTCCAGTAGGAACCGCACGATGTGGTGGTGGCCGGCGCAGACGGCGTTGTGCAGTGGGGTGATCCCTTCGTCGTTGGGCTTGCTGGGGTCTTCCACCTGGGACACAGGGTGTGTGAGCCACGCCTGTGCGTGTGGGGCGCCCAGGCAGGGGCTCCGCTCAGCTCACCTCGTAGATGATCCTCTGCACCAGGTCGAACTCTCCCTCCAGGGACGCGTCCAGGAGCAGCGCCAGGGGGTTGAAGCGGACGCGCAGCCCGCGGCCGGTGCGCTCGGAGTTGGGCTTCTTCAGGTTGGTCCGCTTGCTCTGTGAAGAGGAGGCTTGGATTTAAAGGGGACCCCACGAGCCAGGGGGTGACACCCAGCTTCACTGCTCCCTCTGGAGCGGCAGCTCCTTCCCACCAGCTGAGGGACTCCCAGCCGCTCGCTCCCTCAGCTCGGCCTCCCTCCAGGTCCCAGGGCAGCTTCCCTCCTCGGGCCTCCCGGCTGGGCCTCCAGTACGAGCCCATGGAGCCCTGCCCTGGGCCTGACTCCCTATGGGCCGGGACCGTCTGCCACGCCCACCGCGCCCAGCACAGCCTGGGTCCCCCACAGCACAGGGAGCCCTGCCGAGGCCCGTACCCACCGTAGAGGCTGCGAGCAGGGGTGCGACGGGGGGACGCGATGGGGAAACTGGCTCTTGCCCTGGAGAGGGGGCCTCGGCCCCAGGGCTCGGGACCTGCTCCGTGGACAGGGCCGTGGCCACGTTGTTGTTGTTGTCCTCCGCAGGCTCCACGGTCTGGGGGGTGGTCTGGAGACGGACGAGCCCCTCAGGCTCAGGGGAAGGGAGCTCGTTGTCGTTGGCGTCCGAGGCAGGAGCAGGCTCGGCGGGCAGCGGGGCTGTGGGCTGGGCAGGGCTGGCCTCCCCCAGGTTCCCGTTGGCATTGGTGTTCCCATTGTCCATGTCGGCCAGGGTGCCCGTGAGGCCCTGCGAGGGGCTGGGCTGGTAGAACGGGGTGCCCTCCATGCCGCCGGCCAGGGTGTTGAAGCGCTGGTAGAGCAGCTTCTGGATGTTGGGCCCGCCCGGGCCCTCGGGCTCCGTGATGGAGCTGCGCTTCTTCAGCGGCCGCGGCGCGTTGGCCAGCTTCCGGCGCAGGGCCTCCAGGTCCGCGTCGCTCTGGTAGCGCAGCGGGGAGTGCACGATGGGAGTGAGCTTGGTGGGGCTGAGCGGCCGCGGCAGGCTCTCCATGGCGCCCGTGGCCTCCGTGGGCGGGGCCGGGCTGTCCTGCTCAGGCTCCCGCTCGGCACTCTCTGCAGGGGGTGTGGGCTGCGAGGTGCTGGTGGTCAGCGGCCCATGAAGAAACGGCAACGGCGACGGGGACGTTGAGCCCGAGCCCGATGGCAGGACGGGCTTCCCGTACACTGAGGAGACAGGACGGGGACCCTCAGCACCTGCACCCGGCCCGCCACTACACACCTCTGGTTACACCAGAGGCAGGCCTGGCTGTTGAACCCTAATTTTAAAATAAATTTATTATTATTTTTTAATCCTCACCAGAGAACACATTTTTTATTAATTTTAGAGAGAAAGGAAGGGAGATGGAGAGAAACATTGACTGGCTGCGTCCCACATGCCCCCTAACCCTGTCTGAGCCTACAACCGGTACGCACCCCGCCCTGGAATCAGACCCACGGCCCTCAGTGCCCGGGACGACGCTCCAGCCAACGAGCTGCAC